TTCCCTAAGCAACTCAATGTCATGTGGTACCAACACTTGTTATCATTTTTCGGTTTTTACATTTAAACCGGTTTTTACATTTTTCGGTTTTTACATTTAAACCGGGTCTGTTCCTGGCGCATTAACACTCCGTTAGTCGGTTAACACAAAGTGTTATCCAGTTAACAGCTCTAAACACTCAGTTTTCAGGCCATTTTATATACCGTTAATCGATTAACACAAAGCGTTAACCGGTTAACACCTGAAATTTTGGAAAAACAAGGTTACGAATTTTTGCCAAAAACCTCCAAAAACCCGACCGATTTAATTATTTTCTCCCGATTAAATACCTACTCATTATTACCAATCATATAGTAACAATTTAGGATCATAAAGCTCAAATTTTACGACTTCCGATTTTCATCCAAACTCTTAACCTCCAATTGTCCAAAAATGTCAAAACTCACAAATTCAACCAAATTCAATAAAACGAAATCCAATAATCACGGCTAAACATTACCCGACTAAACTATGCAATTTATTTCGAGTTTCATCCGCGAAAACATTGGTTTCTATCGATTAAACTCATTTATGCCCTAAAATGGAAAATGAGCAAAAACTCTCCAACAATCCAAACCAATTCAACAAACACATACATAATCATACACATTGATAGATTAATAAGATTTCACACCCTTACCTTGATTAATCGGAAGCTGGAAGTCGTTCTGATGATTCCAAGCTTTTCCTCTATTTTCCTTCTCTTTTCTCTTTTTCCTCTTTCTTTCTCTACTCTTTTTCCTTCTTTCCTTTCTATCTTTTCTTTTTATCTCTTTTCTTTCCACTTTCTCTTATATCCCTTTCTCTTCTATTTCTTTTCTTTCCATTATATTTTCTTCTCTCAAATCTACCAAATCATTTAAATAATCATCCAATAATTTCAATAAATCAATTAATTAACATAAATAATTAATTAATGAAAATTGAGCTGTTATACTGGGCATGTCCTAAAATGCTTCTACAAACATTTTATGGTTTGGATGGACTACCTCGAGTGTTCTTTCATTGAAGCAGGCGACGTACTCCCTCGCGACTCTGAATGACCTCGGGGAATATTGAATAGACTTAGTGGGACCAACTTCCTATTTATGCTTATGGCAAATTAATGAACAAACTTCTTCACCGGGTATTGATAGTTAGTGATGTAGAATCTGGGGAGGATTATGTACCATCTTAAGACTACATCTCTCAAAATGTCAAATAAGTTTTTACATTTCAAGGATCAGGTGCCTCAATAATGTTCATCCGAGTGTTGATGGAAGCCACATGCTCATAAAAATTATTGCACTCATCGAACTTAGACAATAATGGTGGCTTGAAGTTCTCTGAGATAGAAACCCCTCATATCCCATCAAATAGAGGTTGATACCCAATACTTTTAGATCATCCGCCGTGTTTGTTTCTTGCTGACGCTAGTGGATATGGATTGGAAAACATTATCCTCTAAGGTATGGTTCTGGAGACGAAGGTCGTCCATTGAATCACACATCCCTTTTACGACAATTTCCTTATCGTCGTATTCTTTGTTGGCCGAAGTCATTGTCTTATTGTTCATCACGGTGAAATATTAACGCAAAGATGATTCTCTAGTTTAATGATGTGATAGTGGCCCAAGACAGCTTTACTGGGACCCACGGTGCCCAATTGTACTTGCTAAAAGCACAAATGTGTAACAACCCCTAGTGAATAAGGGCTGACAAAGGCTTAAGGGTTGTTGTGGTATTGATAACTAGCTCACGTGAGGTGAGAATTCACTATATGGTGCACTTTCTCTGTGTTTTATTTCTCCCCCATGATGATGAGATATTTATAATTGTATCAAACCTGGATCTTAAGCTTCCTTGAAGATAGCAACTGCCCAATAAGTGGGTAGTTTTCCTTCCAATATTCAAGGAAGCGTGTTCCACCTATCTCCTGACTTTTTCTGTGTACTTACACAAGATGACACACCACTCATTTATGCTCTTAGGCGACTTAACCTCGAGTAAGGCGATAAATCTAATAAAAGGGCGACACATTCGGTAAACAGGCTGTTGATCCAATAAACGAGTGATTATAGACTTTAGTGTCTCCTCTTAAGATCATTTGCAAATTTACCGATACACAATGCTTCTAGTAATGTTTCTGAGGACACTACCAATAAGGAAACTTTTCTTATAAAATATACTGACTTTTGGGTTCCCCATGTAGGTTATATCTATAATACTAACAAATAGCAAACAGGGTTGTAAAAAGAAAAAAATTGATACTTTTCGGAGCCCACAATTTTTCCGATATGAAAATATTAAATCATGCACACTCTAAGAGAGGCACAAGAGAGAGAAAAAATCTCATAAAAAGAATAGGGAAGACACAATGGTTTAAAGACAATAATAAATGTAGAAGAATAATCACATTGAAAATGAAAAAGAAGAAAAGACAAGTTGATTTCACCCTTTGGTGTATATAAAGGCAATTGGTGACCCCACGATCTACAACAAAAAATAAAATAAAAACCAAGGCACAATCGACGATCCAAATCTTATATTGATCCTGTGACGACACTCAAGTACTCTAAGGAAATCATCCCATATCCAATAATTTTAGGGCCACATAGAGGCTTTATATTGCAAAATATTTTAATTACAAGACACGCATTTAATGCATGTATTGTCGAGATAACATACTCCCATTTAACACACCTCTAATTTCCACCAACATGGATGTACACTCAGAGGCCTTTAAATAACAAAAAAAGGATTTATGAAGGCGAAACTCACCACTTTTACAGCAATCCTAGCTCCATATTCGATTTCAATAACCTAAGGAACAATTGTTCTCAGTCGGTCAAACAACCCAATAAGACCGACCCAATTCGAATTTCCAATCTAGAGTTTTTATGGCTTTAAGATGATAAACATGTGAATATTCACCAATAAGTTGCACGCAAAAATCCGACTCTATGATCATTGCAGCCGTTGGAATCAATCCAATGACGTAGCGTACCCTACATGTGTTCATCACGTGTAATTTTAACCGTCACTTGTGTATGAACACTCTCACACACCATACACAAAGTACAAAATATTCACTCTTGCATGTTACATCTATTACCTCATTCACTTTAGCATTTAAGTGTTAACCTCGTAGGTACACCCTCTATTCCACCTACCAGAGATTTTCACAGTCGTACTAAAGAGCTTCTATGACGACTTTCATCGACATACCACGAGTTTCATGTTTCACACCGGAATATATATGAATTTTTATAAATGAATTATTTTATTTTTAAACTAGTGTGATTCTAACCACCACCTAACTTCATTATCTTTTGGATCATAACCAAAAACACATTATGTGCCTTAATATAAGTTTGATCATTTGCTCTCGTTTGAAGTGATCCATGTATTATAATGGTTAAATGCAAATTTAGGAAAACAAAGTCTCTAGTAACTTCTTTTAGGCTACTATCAATAAGGACACATTCCTTTTCAACAAATACCAACCTTTAGCTTTTCCATGACGTCCATATCTAAAATACTAGCAAAAAGCAGACAAGGTTAAATAATTAAAATATTGTCACCTTATGGAGCCCATAACTTTTGAGATATAAAAAGATTGAATCACATGCACTTCTAGAGAGGCATCAAAGCAAAAGAAGAAAACGTGAGAAGGGGGCTATGGAAGGCACATGAGTTCAAAGACAAAAATAAGTGCAGAAGAATAACCACCTTGCAAACAAATAAGGTGAAAAGACAAGTTAATTTCACCTTTTGATGTATATCTAAGCAACTAGTGACACCATAATATGCAACAAAAAATCAAAGAAACACCAAAATACAATCAATAGTCTAGATCTCACCTCGATCATGTAACGAGACTTGAGTACTCTAAGGACATCATCCCATATCCTAGAAGTATAAGGCAACCACATTGAGGATTTAATGCACGTATTCTGGAGATCACCTACTCCCACTTAACACACCTCAAACTTCCCCTAACGCGGATGTATGCTCAGAGGCATTAAAACAAAATAGAGCATCATGAAGGTATATCTCACCACTTATACAAGAATCCAAGCTCCATATTAAATATCAATGACTTAGGGGACAACTATTATGGGACAACCAAACAATCAAATAAGATCGACCCAACTTGAATGTCCAATCTAGAGTTTTTATGGCCTAAAGATGTCGGACAACTAAACCTTTTATCAAGAATCCACACACATGAATCCGCCTCTATGCTTATTGCAATCATTGAAATCAATCCAACGGTTTACTGTACTTTATACCGCGTTCATCGAGTGTAATTTTAATCGCCGTTTGTATACAAACAAGATTACACACCATTAACAAGTACAATTCATTCACTCTTGCATGTTACATCTCTATGACCTCACTCACTTTATCATTTGAGTGCTAATATTATATATACACCATACTCCACCTACCAAATACCTTCACCATCGTAACAAAAAGTTTCTTCAACTACTCTCATGAGCAACCCCATCAATCTTTTGTTCCACATCGGAATATAAATGAATTTTTTATAAATAAATTATTTTAAAATTTAATTAATAAATATATATTTTTTTACAATTAATTTATATTTTATAATCAATAAAAAAAGTGATTCAATGAATGGGTGAATAATAAAATAAAATAAAATAATATATAAAGAGCGAGACGCAACACTCTGGTTTCTCTTTCTTCCTCCTTTGGACTTTGGTTGCTAGTGTAGTCACCGACTGCAGTGTCGTGGCTCACCCTCACCCTCTCCTCTTCTCTCCTCCTCCGACTCCGTAACTCTGTAAGTTAATTAACTAACCCTTATTCTTCTATACTCGCTCATCTAACCTATCATCTCGTCATCGTTATTCTATTTCTCAATTTCGATTCCTTCATTTCATCTTATGCTGAATGATTTGTGTGGGTCCTACTAAACCAACTAGGGTTTGTTTTCGAAAATTGCAGAACAAGATGGGAGAGAGGATCCCATCTGGGAACGGAAATGGGAATGGAAATGGAAGTTATTTTCAGTTCCCTCCTCCCGGTCCTTCACCTATCAGGTCTTCCGATCATCGTGAAAGGTTTGTGAATTCACACTCTTCGTTTTCCTCATCAATTCATCATGTTTTCTCTTTTCAATTTATTCATTGTTAATTCTTTGCAGATTTTTGGCTGAACTATTGGCGGAGAGGCAGAAATTGGGACCCTTTTTGCAAGTTCTCCCACAATGTACCAGGCTCTTAACTCAAGGTTCATCAATCATGTTTCTCTTTTTTTCACATCTTCATTTATAGTCTATCAAGCATAGACACCGGAAACACGAAACACAACGTCGACGCATTTATTTGAAAATATAAAATGTAAATAAATTAAACATGATCACAATCACAAGTGTTGGTTTCGGACAACACTGACACGGACACACCTTTTTTTTAAGGTGTTGGTGCTAGTTATGTCTTCATAACATGGTAAACAATACGAAGAAACCATACATACATGTATGGTTCAGATAGTTTTGATGCTTGTTTGGCGTGGGATGGCTGGTTGATCCTAGTTCTTTGTCTTTGCAATTTCATCAATAGTAATTCTTTAGTGCTTTTTTTTTGTTCGCCTTTGCCTCATTCATTATGTATGCTTGGGAGACCACCTTTGATAATGTATTTGTTTAAGTTTTTGTAGTTTCTCTCTGATTCTAATGTGCATTGCAGAAATCAGACGCATATCCGGATTTAATCACGGTTTTCCGGAACATGAAAGATTTGAGCCAGACAGTCCATTTAGGCCGTTAGGTCAACATCCAAATAGTAGGCCAATGGATATGGAGGGATGGCCTGCTGTACCTAGAGAGGTAATGCTACTTCATACCACTCATAAATTTCTGTTAAATGATTTAGTTATTTCTTATTCACTGATCATGGTCTATTATTTGTTCTAATCATTATCTACTTTTTTGCTGGAAAAATAAACTTATAGCAGTTGAGGTTTGCTGTTTGTTTGCATGCAAACAATCTTCACTGTTGACTAAAATTGTCCAACATTTAGAAGTTGAGAGCTTTGCTGTTTGTTTGCAAAGTTGTGCCATTACCGTCATGCTTTTATAGTTTGCATAAACATATGTTTTTTTAACATCAACGCCAAGTGTGACCTGTGTGCTTTTTGTTTTCCATATTTAATTTTTATAATTAAACATACGAGCATGATAAATGACCTGTATCAGTTTCAACACCCAGAGTCCTCTATCATGTGAAAGAAATCCTATCAGCGCTAACGAAACAATACCTAGATAATTAGCTTTGTTTTGTTCCTAACTTGCCAGAAAGTCCTGTGGTATTTTCTACATCTAAGGGGAAATACTTTGCCTATCAGTATCAGATATTTTTTTAACCATTTCTGCATTACGCCTTTTTACAAGTGTTAACACCCATTGCATGGGGAAGAGCAAAGTTCAAATTCAATTTCTTTTACGATGGTCTGTGACCACTGGTTAGGTTTGTATTTTCTAATTACTCCTGTGCATTTTAAATGGGTCTTTTACTACACATGGTGGTGCAGGTCTTTAATAGATCTGTATGAAAAGCATCTGCCATGCATCAGAATTCACAAATGTAACTTGTTTTCAGGATATTTCACCATAAAAAGCATCCAGGATTACACATAGAAGAACTAGTAATTCAGCACTGCGATTGACAGTTTTGAAAATTGATCTTAATTTTTTAGCTTTTAATCCTGCCTTCTTAACCTCAATTTCTGTAAAATTCTTAGAAGTTGTTGATATATATCTTAACCTGCCTAATACCAGTCAATACGCTTTCCAAATAGCTCCGTGATCCTAGAAAAACCTAGTGCTATAAAGATTCTGTAATAGCAAGATCATGAAAGGGCCAGACCCATTGTGGGTCTATTTTAGGCAGCCTTTCTTTTCTTGTATTTCACAAACAGATTCTATGATGTGAAAACAGGGTTGCTATTTGTTGTCAGATTTTGGCTCTTCGGAGCTTCAAAATTGCGTATGCTGCATTGAATGACTAAATGCTCATAATTGGGCAATATACCTGGTCCAAAAAAAGTTCCATTGAAAATGTGAGGCAAGAGAGTTTGAGTTTTGATCTAAACTTGCGTTTACAATTTATAAAGGCGGAGTTCTAAGTAGTACTGAAGTTCTACATGCAGGACAATGGAAATCTCCAAAGAATGGGGCAGTTTCAAGCACCACCAGTGGGTTGGCATGGGGCACAAGGAATTCCGACGACTCCTGTAGTGAAGAGAGTTATCAGGCTTGACGTCCCTGTCGACAAATATCCAAATGTAAGTCCAAATCGTGTTTTTTTTTTCACTCCAGTCCATATCAGTTTATCTTAACAATGTAACATATTTTTTTTTACTCAAATCACAGCAGTATAATTTTGTTGGTCGGATTCTGGGACCTCGCGGGAACTCATTAAAAAGAGTGGAAGCGATGACGGAATGTAGGGTTTACATCAGAGGCTGTGGCTCCGTGAAGGATTCTATTAAGGTAAAGTTGGTATTTAATTATACACTCTAAACGTCTGTAAAATGGGAAACTTGATTCCACATTACTCCTACCATTGCTGGCAGGATCCTTCACTTCTACTGTGGATCTATTGTTGGAACCTATGAAGCACCTACACAGACACAACACAGACACCAACACAGACACTGACACGTCGATACCGATACTAATTTGAAAAAAATGAATAAATTGAATGTAAACGGAAACGGATAAGAACTGACCTCTTTTCTGAGGTGTTGGTGCTACAAAGATTCACCTTGCATTTGCAAGAGGCCAATTCCATGACTTTAAGCAGCCGCTTCAGTGGTTGCATCTAGGCTCTCCTTAAGAATTATTTAGTGCTAATTTCAGTAATTTGATTTGATTTGATTTTTTTTCTTCTAAATGATTAGTTTTAGTAAACTTATAGTCACTCACATGCACAAAGTAATCTGATGAACATACAACACATTATCTATCTTATTATTCTAAATAAATTTAGGCAATTCTTATCCAATTCAAGTTACTTTTTTCACCTTGGAGTTTTGCATTTGATTCCTCATCCCACTGCTTTTGGATTTCTCATACTAATCAGAGCCTTACGCTGCCTCATTTTTCTTCTTTCGTATATTTTATTATTATAGGAAGAGAAGCTTAAAGATAAACCCGGGTATGAGCACCTTAACGAGCCATTGCACTTGTTGGTGGAGGCAGAGTTTCCCGAGGATATAATCAATTCACGCTTGGACCATGCTGTTGCAGTACTAGAAAATCTTTTGAAGCCTGTGGTATAATTTTATTTTCACATTTAATTGCATTAATTGTTGTGCCTCACCCTTTTTTTAGGGCTAGTCCTTCTAATAAGTGGCAACCTGCCAGGATGAATCTCTTGATCACTATAAGAAGCAGCAATTGAGGGAGTTAGCTATGCTTAATGGTACTCTGAGGGAGGAAAGTCCCAGCATGAGCCCTAGTATGAGTCCGAGTATGTCACCTTTCAATAGTAATGGAATGAAACGTGCCAAGACAGGAAGATGACCCCAGTACGTTAACAGTGGATCTTACATTATTCTCAAGCTAGGTTATTAGCATCTGATTTAGAATTTGCGGCGGTCTTTCTGCTGATTTTATTCACCAGAAATACATTTGGGACTGAATCTCCTCAACCAGCTTGCAGGGATGGTCAATGATCTATCAGCTTAATTTCTCTATTCTATTTTGGCGCCTATTCTTTGGTGTATTAACCACAAGAGTATTGATCGTCGTATTGCCGTTATAGAACAGTATTTATTGCTGTTATAGTGCAGTATTAACTAAGTTGCCGTGCTACTTAATAGCATACTCCCAGTTTGATACTTTTTATAAAAAAATTGCATTGTCAAATTATTTAATTTCTTGCATGTGTATATCTAAATATGCATGGTATTGACTCCTCTTGAGCTAAATAAGACAAATGTAGTAGTGTCTTTGATTGTATTGTGACATCCATAATAATGTTGACATTGTTCAATGATTGTCATTTCATTTCATTATTTTGAGTTTGCCAGTGACTGTTGTGTTAGTTTTATGTACTTGAATTTGATGTTGGAATCTGAAAGGAAAGCTCTATTTATCAACAAACAGCGATAAGAGCAATCTATTGAATTGATATATCTTACAATATTTTCTTTGTTGTTGTTAACAAACAGCGATAAGAGCAATCTATTGAATTGATATGTCTTGCAATATTTTCTTTGTTGATGTTAAATTCAAGCTGCTAGCAGCAGTGTCCTATTTAGCTACTAACTTTGCAGGAGAGCAGTTTACTGGTCACAACTAGTAGTTGTGTGGTCGCAAATGCCTGCAATGCGATGGAAAATTCAGCAAAGGTTCTTTTATGTTTAAAAAATGTTACCTTGAATTGCTTCACATTTTAATTTCATTGGAGTGTAATTTCAAATAAAGTACATATGCTGCCAAAGAAATCAGCACTGGGTACTCCCTGATCTAGTTAGTTAATTGCTAATGCTTATATTGTGCTGTTAAAAGCTGTAAATTTTCTTTGATATGTAGGTGCTGGCTGAACTATCATGCACATTGTTGTGATGTGTTTATTTCTCCTTGTATTGTGGTCTTTTTTCATTGTTTATTGTGTCACAAATTCTATCAAATAGCTGCTGGGAGTGGGTTTTCATAAGAGCATATTGCTTTTTCCTTTTCTTACATCGCAACTTAAAGAGCAAAAAAGGTAACACGACAGCAACAATTAAGACAGTATCAACAATGATAGAAGCATGTTTAGAAGAATCATCATCATCTTCAAAAAACTCTGTTTCACAAACAAAATCAGCTATTATGTTGAAAATATGACAGACGATGATTCATTACACATCCATATAAAAAACCATTCCATTCATCTTTCTCTATTAATGATGAGAAATAGCCTAAATAGAAAGGGCAATTATTAGGTTGAAGAGGGAAGAACTAGTATGAAAAGGGAAGAGTATGCAAGAAGAAAACTGAGCGGTCTCATCATTTTGACGGGGTTTTGCCTTATTGATGTTTTCTTTACCTATCAATGATTGGGGACCTAAGTAAATTCAAATTACGCCTCTACTTAGACAAAATGGGCATGTCCGTCCAGTTTAGATTCGTCACGCTAAAGTCTGTAAAAAAGAAAATGGGACGGAACGGACGGGGAAAGGTTATATTTGAGGATGCGAGACTAAAATTTAGGCATACCACCTTGCAAAAAAAAGTGAAGATGGAGTAGGGAAATAGGAAAATGTCATATTTGAGAATGAGTCCAAAAGTGAAGATGGAGTAGGGAAATAGGAAAATGTCATATTTGAGAATGAGTCAAAAATTTAGGCCTATCTTGCAAAAAAAAGTGAGGACGAGGTAGGGGAAGTTCGCAGACACTGCATCTTTTATGTCTAAAAATAAGAAATTTGATGTAAATGTTCGTGGCCGCAAAAACCCAAGAAGAAAACGAGATGGGGTGGAGCGAACACATTAGAGGGTGTGGCCGCAAAAACCGAGAAGAAAACGAGATGGGGTGGAGCAAACACATTAGAGGGTGAGGATTTAAATCCTTTGCCCGCTCAGCACTAAAGTGCGGGAAAAAACGAAATTGGACTTGTTTTGCCATCCTACCTCTATTTTTTTTTTTAATAAAATAGTGTTTTGTTTCTAATTAAGTGTGTACAATTTAATTTAATTTCAGTTGATTCAAATTAGCTAGATTAGCATAACAATTAATTTAATTTCAATCAGATAAGATCTAATTTATGGATAATAATTTGTAAACACAATTTTTAATGTCAACCACCAGCGGATGATAATTTGGTTAGATATTTTTTTTACAACTTTACGAACAAATTTTTATATTTTTTAATGATAAATAAAATGTATTAATAAAGAGACATAGACATGCTTTCTCTTGATTGAGCCATTTTGACGGTGAGTGTGGAGACAAGTAATTCTTTTTGTGATGCTATGAGTGAAAGGCCTAAACTCACCACCACCGCCACCTAAAAACTTTGTCCATACAACAAGCATTACAAAAATTGGCCAGACTTCCCTTGGGAACTTGAATATTATATAGTTTGACAACTTAGTTAACACTGCATATAACAGCAATACGACCATCAATACTGTTGCAGTTAGTACACCAAAGAATAGACGCCAACATAGAAAAGAGAAATTAAGCGGATAGACCATTGACCATCCCTGCAAGCAGGTTGAGGAGATTCAGTCCCAAAGGTTTTCATGACTCTTTTCCCATGACATGTTTTACATTCTTAAGGTTTTCGATTATGTGTCAAAATTGCTAGAGATTGTAGCATCACCAACAAATGTTGCCAAAGTGGTAACCAAGTTTCGTATTAGAAATAGTTTCACAAAATATGGCACACTTTGAGAAATAATTAGTGTTGAGACAACTCTTTCTATAAGAGATTTAGGATTTGTAGCTCATGTATGATGTGAAACACAATGGTTGTCAACGCCTACCATTCATAATGGAGTTGCCAAGTTGAATTGTCTAATAGAAAAGTTAAGAAAATACTTGAAATTTTTTTTTTCTTATCCCACTTTTTAAGAATTTTTATGCACTACGTTTCTAAAAATGTTTTTTATTTTCAGAAATATATCTTTGAACGCACATTTTTTTACTCAACGTTGGTTTTTTTCGGAACTATATCTAAGAAAATTTTTCATTTATACAACTCTAAAATAAATTAGAATACTTACGCGCCAAAGTCTCTTCTCCTCCCTCATTTTTCATTTTTCTTCTCATTCTCAAACTCTCTCAACTCAAAAAAAAAAATTTCCACCAAACTTCATTATTTTCAATCAAATTCGACAAAGAGCGTTCATTTCAACGATCAAGAAACACCAACACATTCAAAGCTTGATATAATCGGTAAATTTTCGAGTTTCTGAATTATTTTCAAGTATTTCCCGTAAACGAGTTTGAATATAGTTTTAGGAGTATAAAGCCTTAGATACTTTTAAAAACATAGTTTAAAGACAATGAAGGTATTGTTTGTTGGCTGAAACGGACGATCAAGGCTTCAAAAATCACATTTGCATGGGTAAGGGACGCCATTAACGTAACCTTTGAGTTGCAGGTTGTTCTGGATCTACATCTACAGAAGAATTTAACGTTAGGGCGCTTCCGTAGATGCAGCTTCGGAACAACCCAAACGTTGTAAATTTCGGGTGCTTCCGTAGATGAATCTACGAAACTTGTTCCGGGTTTGTATATCCGGAAGTAGAAAATGTTATTTTTTTCTTTTTTGTTTTTTTGACTTATTTGTATCTAATTGTTTTTTCTTGGTTATTCCGTTACAGACATAATGGCAGACAGAGACGATAGATTGCGTTTGCAACATGCATTTGTGAGACGCGAGCGAAGACAAACCACCGTTATCTAGGCCGATACAGTCGAGACACAACCTACTAGACATCCTTCTTCATCACATGTCCAGGACACTCCTTCGACCTCGTATCCCACCCCATCATCGACTTCTTCATCTTGGAGGCGTCGAGATTCAGTTGAGGGCTCATCACAGGCCTCGTTATCCCGCAGGCCTTGTCGGGTTACTCTTGTTCCTCATCATGCCGACGATGTTGCTCCGGTGCCACGTCTAGAGGCTGATGACCCACCAGCAAAGGATGTTGATCACAACGAAAATGATGAGCCTGAGGGTTTCCTTAGATATGTTCCTGCTAACAGGGTATGCTGACCATACTCTCAGACATGTCTGAGATGAAAAGGTAACATTACTCAGTTTGTTTCTTTTCTTTTTTTTTTCATTAGAAATTTATAACTTGTACCATTGTTGATTACTAACATTGTTTCTTATTTATGGAAATTTTTCAGACTCGTGAGCCGCAGAAGTTCTACAACCATGGGTGGAAGATATTATCTTTGGAGCAGCCACAAGAGGCTTGGTTCTAGGATGTCCTTGCTGCCTCTGGTTTGAAAGACCTTTGTGATATCGGTTACAACCTGATCCATAACGGGATGTCGATGGGATTTGCGGAGAGATGACACTCTGAGACGACCTCCTTCCATCTACCGCATGACGAATTGACTATTACACTGAACGACGTCTCTTGTCTGTTGCATATACCGATCAGGGGTACTCTCCTCTCACGGTAGAATGAAGAAGGAAGAGGCGAGAGAGATGTTGATCGATGAGCTTGAGGTTGATCCAGTGGATGCGCTGGAGGAGTTGGATAAGACCAGAGGAGCTCATGTGCAATTCTCCTTTCTGATACATAGATTCTGTGAGGCACTCGATGCTGCATACCAGGCAGATGGTGATCCAGTTGAGGTTGAGATACACAGACAGCGTGTGTTGAGGTCTTATTTTCTATTTTTAGTCGGCACACAACTGTTTGTGGACACTTCCTCCACATATACTGATGTCGCTTACCTGAGATACTTTTTGGATTCCACACGGATCCATGAGTATAACTGGGGGTGGCTACCCTGGCTTACACGTACTGGAGACTGGGAGAGGAATGCACTTGGAAGATCAAGACGG